GTTCTCAAAATGGCCGGTACCACTTTAAACTTTAAAAAACAATAGAAGGAGTTTACGTTGTACGCTCGCAAACTGACTGCAAAACGTTCCATTAACTAATTTGTAACTTTTCAGACTAGTAGGCGCTCAGCATGTTAACAAGTGGTCAACAAAGCACTCAATAAAATTAGCGATGCTTGTACTGACCCAGAGGCACTTTCTTTCAAAGAAACAAAGAGTTTCGATGATGAAAGGAACGAGGGATGTCCGTTGAATGTCGATGTTTTTTAAAAACTGATTTTCTGCTGGCCGGATAAAGTTTCTTAAATTCATAGCTTACTTACTCAATGTTTTTCACTTTTAACATTATTATTAAGGAACTCTACGAGAATATTTGCATCAGAATATGCTATTTTAAACAGGTAGCAGTTTATAATACGAGTATTTGAAGCATGTAATTTTAAACTGTTTTTTTATTTTAACGATTTGCATCTTTTTCCGACAGTTCAGGTTCGATTATAAAATGAAGAAAGAAATAATACTGTCGTTATGTTAGGCCCTAATATCGATAATTTCGTATGTGTACCAAACCTAGTTGTAAGTCGCCGGCATAGTCAAAGTTTGTACTTTAGGCCACCGTTAGAGCCTAATTTATCTGTTACATCATTACATCACCTGTTACACGCTAATAATATGCATGTAAGACTTGCATGGAAGTAACATTACGGTAAAGTAACATATCTCTATTTTGTAACGGATTTTGTTAATTATTTCTGTATTTTAATGCGAGCTAGTTGATATAGTACGGATGAAGGCACACATCATGCTATTACATTGGCATCTACTCTAGATATAAAAAGATCACAGATATGATTACTAATTTTCATGTTTTATGCAAGTAACATGGGTAGCGCATTTTCTTACATAACTTTTCAATTCCTATCATTGGAGGTCCGAAAATATTTCTCATACAATTTGATACCATAATGATCATTCTTCATAAAAAATTTAAAACCTACATATTTAAAAACATAATCATTAATATTCATAATATCATTAATCATACACTTAGTTTTTACTAATATTTGTTTTCATATATTTTTCTATACTAATGATCGAAACTCATAATCATTCGAATAAATAACTATAATATTCATAAATGCGATGTATCCTAATATTTGTTTTCATAAATTTATTACTCATAAGTGTATTTTTCCATATTATTGAAAATCATGATGTCTATATTCGTATTAAATCGTATTTTAACATTAAATTAATTTGAAATGGTCCAAAACAGGCAATATTTTGTGCCACAAAACTAACGTGACAGAAACGAATCGCTGCAAAACCGACTCCACGTAGTCTTGTCTGCCCTACCCCTAGAGTGTAATTTAAAAGCCGGAGGCGCGGAGGGAGGGCAGCCCTCGCCCGCTGTAACGAGCTTCCGCAGCTTCGGCTTTTTGGATCGCCATCGGCGCCTTCGGCGCCTCGGCGACCAGCCTCAGCCGCTCCAGCTCACCCGGGCGCCTGAGCCTCGTTACGCAAGGGCGGAAGGGCTGCACATCCCGCAGCGCCGGAGACGAGGAGATACCAATGCATGCTGCATGCTCTGCTACTACTCTATTAAATTATATATGATTTTTTTAAAGATACGAGTATGTCTGTTATAAAGTAAATTATTCTGAACAACAACATTATGAGTTGAAGTATGTTCTTAGTAACAACATTATTAATTAAAACAATATGACCAATGAATGTTATGAAGAAAAAAGATCTGAAAATAAAAATTATGTATTTTAAATGGTTCTTGGTAGTAACAGTATTGATAAAAAAATTATGATTACTAACTGTTATGAGCTCCGATGGTAGGAATAAAAATGTATGAATAAAAAAAGTATGAAAAATAAAATTATGAAGAGAGATTATTATGAACACAAATCGGTAGTAAGACAAAGAATAGGATTTAGAATTTTATGTGAGCCAATATAGAACCAGTAACATGCGCTTGATTGAACCGTGTCGTCGCGTGTTGAAATAACTTGTCATTTATTTCAAGTAAACTATTTTTATACTGCATTTATTCTGAGAAAATTAAATAACTACTGAAATTAGGCTTAATTTGTGGTATTTTAATTTTTACATAACCAACAACAAGCTCTTAACGATATGTGATTCATAAGGTTGAAATTCATTCCAAACCGGCTGAGAAAATATTAAGTAAAGCCCTTCAGTAAATAGGTCAAAGGTGTACCCTACTTAGAGCCTTCTTGGTCAAATGTGTACTTAGAGCCTTCTCTATCAATCATCAAAAGGTATTAGATTTTAGGATTGACGACAATATACAAGGTGACTCAAATATAATGCAATCCCTACAAGGCACACATAACCCGAAAATACATGTCGAGTAAAATTTTGTTTCACGAATATCTAAGCAGTTATGCTGCTGACACATTAGTAGCGGCAGTAAAGCCCTTATTCAGATTCCTTACCAAAATGACATTATTAAACTACTGTAGGTATACCAGTGTCCTGGCTGGATTAAATAAGTCATTAAACATACCTTGTCCCCCTCAGCGACTCTCAGCACAATCTTCAGCCTCGGGTTGTTCTTCCTATATTCCTTCAGCAGCGACTCTAGCTTCTCTCCTCTCGCGTCTCCCGCGTACACCAAATGCGTACACTCGGAAAAGCCTTCAGTAGCGCGCGTGCTGTCTACGTAACACACCAGCCGCGCGGCGCCCGCGCCCGCGCTTTCCGCGCCCAAAAACGCCGCGAGCAGGCAAAACGCCCAAGCCCACATCGTGTATTAATTAAAAATAAAAAAGTCAATCTGACATTTCTCGTTCGAAATTCGAATCAAGCGCGTTCGTTCGGCTTCGGCGCACGAGTGACGGCGCAAGCGCACCGGCGGCGCAGTAAAGCGCCCCCGCCCTGGCACGCAAGGCCGACGCTCACTCGAACTTGACAAGCTTACAGGTTTTGTTATGTGACTTTTTAGGGCGATTGATAAGATGAACTTAGATCGCGATAGTAGTCGTTTAGATAAGATTTTTATTTGCACTTCGCATTTTAGTATGAGCGGTCGTTATGACGGCCCAATGGTGAAATGTGCGTTTTATTGCCCTAAACGCAATTCCATTCCCAGGTACGAACCCGGTCTGGTCAATTGAAAAGTGTTCTTACTTAAAACGATACATCGTTCGTTTCAGCCAAATGACGTCCACTGCTGGACAAAGGCCTCCCCCAAGGTTTTCCACAATGAACGGTCCTGCGCTGCCCGCATCCAGGCTCTTCCCGCGACCTTTACCAGATCGTCGGTCCACCTACCACACCTACCTAGTAAACACAATAGTTACCCTTACGACACTCACTGTTCCCTTTCTACAAGATATAGGTACAACGACTTGTCTGGCAGAAGTGGCAGATAATGCTCCCAGGTCTACTTGTACCTTTTGCACAAGAATTTGGCACACTTTTTAAACCCAGAACTTTACCCATATTCATTGTCCCTTGTAGTTAAAGGGTCAGTAGAGGAATCAGCATTAGGTGTTCGTCTGTGCCGTCTATAAAATTAGCACCTAGCATTACGTACCGGCTACTCTACATATTGTTTGGTAATCTTATTGTTAATTGCGCAACAGATTGGTTCCGGGTCTGCCAGACATCGGTCATGTCCCTGACATTACAATGACAGGTACACTGCCTGCTGTATGGATTGGATAATAGAAAACTAGATGATTATTTAGATTCATGAAAATACGGATGCGGGCCGCTTCCAAGTCAACCTATAAATCATTGGGGGAGGCCTATGTACAGCAGTGGACTCTTCTATGGCTGAAATTATGATGATCATGAACCTGACAACTAACGGTATCTGTAGACTATGTACCTACCTACCTAAAATTAATTTGTATTTGACAAAACTATGTATCTAATGAATTTTGGCGACTAGTCCAGCTCATGTAATATTCAGCTTGCTTATCATTTTTGGGAAAACCTGCTGCTGTATCCCAAATAAGCAATCTTAATTAATTAATCATAATGAAAATCCTGAAAAAAGTATTTATAAACTTCACCACTCTGTAGTAAAAAGGAGTCTTGGTTTACCGGTCTTTCGTAGATTAAAGAAATATGAAAACGTGTGGTTTTTAAACAGCCGGACTATAACCGATGATTAGATACGTATCAAAATTGTGGCTCTCAAACAGTCTGACTTTGACCGATGATTAGGTAACTACGTATACAATGTTGACAGGTTAAATTCCACCAGCAGGTCAGTTGTCATTATAGATAATCATATTTTATCTCATCAATTCGTAAGCGTATAAGTCCATTTATCGTTTATATCTAGATACGAATTACCTAGTGGGGCCCGCAACTTCATACGTATGATCATCGTTTTGTAGCATTTCGTAGAGTATTTTAAAATGAAAAATACTATCCTGATTAGAAAAGCAAACGATGCCTTAAATTACTAACGATGCAATTGTTGCTAAATCCATTGGTCATATTGGATATTTAAACTTCATCCTCACAATTATCCTACTAAGTCTAACTAAAAAAAGAAGATTAAAGATATAGAATTAAGAATTTAGTAAATATCGACACAATTGACGGCCCAAGTTTCCCAGTTTTTCGAGCTCCATGGGTACTCCCACAGGCACAGTAGCACAGGGTTTCAAACTTGGGTGAAGTTTACAAGGAACCTAACTACATAATTAAATTACTTAGATTCATGCGCATTTGTGATGTTGGATATCGATATTGACTAATTACGAGAATAAAATTTACAGCCCGGTTCTGTTGGTTACAAAGTAATATGTGTTATTTCTAATATGTATTTTCTAATCATACGTTACATTTACATACAGACCTTGACTCTATTTTCTTAATCAATGTAGGTACAAAATCACTTTCTAGTTAGTAGGTAGGTATATATTTATCGTTATTAGTTCAACATCTTATCTCCATGACTCGACAAAATGTAGCTTTGAATGATGATGATAATCAGTACCAGTCAGGCGACTGGTGAGATGTGACAAGGAATATCAACACCGATATGAAAATATAAAACATTTACAAACAAAATGTCGTTCTTTGGCAAAAAATTCAGGAGGATAGGCTGTGAGAACATGGAAGCGTTAGTGAAACAAACGAGTGAGTGTTTACATTTAGATGTGTTGTTGATTGTGTGATAAAAAGTGCTAAGTAATTCAGTCTGGTTTCACAGTTACACTGTGCAAAATTTAATTTTATAAAAATGTATCGATGTAGAGCTGATAAAACTTTTCCTTTTATGAAAAAAATACTGTTATGTAGGTAGGTAAGTATGTCGCCGGACTGATTAAAATATTATTTCTTTTTATGTCATAATCCATTCATAATAATATTTATAGGCATAATAGACTTAAGTAATTTTGTAAATAAGAGATGATTCATATCTTGACAATAGCCCACGGTGTATGACTTGCACGACTACACTTGACGGTGTAGGTTTGAACCTCGCCGCTGGACTATTGTGGTGAACCCACTCGTGACATAAGCATATTTAGCTTACGAGGGTTAACTGAACTAATAGTAATTTGTGCAATACACATTAATATTCCTTCTATTTTCAAAGAAAATGTAATGTAACAATCTGAAGTTTTTTTCTCTCTCCAGATCCAATAAGTCCTCAACTGGCCTACATACTAAACGCCCCTGCTCCAGTATTTTCGTACACACAGCACAGTCCTGACCAGTACATCTTCAGACTCGAATTGGACAGCAAGGTCATGTCGCACTTCTTCAGGCTAGGAGAGGAGCTTGAGCTGGAGAAAAAGGATGGGAGCAAGGTATTGACGTGTATTTTTATGTAACCCTTCAAGTAAGGTCAGCGTCAAATAGTTCGTGACACCCAAAGTGGCCAAAAAGTTGATAACACAATCTTATTTCCATTGTAACAAAGAAGTGTTGCGAATGTTTTAGCTACCTTGGGTGTCACGAACTATTTGACGCTGACTGTACCTACCCTTGAATCGAGACACAAGTCTCATGCCATTGCTTAGGGTTCCATGTAAAGAAATAATATTGAAATTGCCTGATTACAACTATGATATAAAATTAATAATTCCAAAATAGTTCAAAAATATAATGAATGTTTAGTTGCATTTAAATGTTAGTAAATATTACCTAAATTTAATGCACAAGGGATTACATTACACTTAAATATTTAATATAATGACTGCAGAGCAATAGAAGCATTCGAGAAATATTATTGTGGTGATTCACTATTATTGTACTCTGTATCTAACAATAAATAATTTTCCGACAGCGATAGGAAATCCAAGTGCTGTTGAATCTCAGCAATTTATTTTGTCATACAATCAATGTACTTTTTCTTTCAGGTCAAAGTTACATACACACTAGGAGCACACAATGTCCTGCATAAAGTCGTTCAAACCCAGGACGGCAAGAAGATGGCACATTTTAGACAGGAATTCGGGGAAAATGAAGCTATTATGGTAAATACATTTAGATTATATAAATGAATTACGTTTAGATATAAATTAATTTCCTTAAGTTACAGTACTGCCTGCCCGGCGATATTATAATATATTACAATTATTTTGTCAAAATAAAAACGTTTTAATTTTATACTATAAAGTAGGTACGCCCCTAATCTGAAACTTTAAAGTTTCTAGTTCAATCAAGTTTTAGTAACAACACTGAAATATACCTTTTTATTTCAGTACATAAAGCTGGATGGATCTGACGTCGAAGGAAGAGTATATTACGAGGCCGTCACTTAGTCAGTAAAAATCTAGTAGATATTTAATCATAGTTATTCTATCTACGTTTTTTCATGTACAAAAAAGACCGCAATATTGTACGCGAGAAATTTAAAAACTGTACAGCAATGTATGTACAGACGACAGCATATTATCAATGTAAACATCTTATTTATGTAGTAATAAGTGCTACGTTCCAACAAAATGCTTACTGTTTAGTTTAATATGCTGTGGACTGTACAAACGACAGCACACACGGGACTATTCCCACCGCTGCCTTCTATGCCAGGATCTACAGCTTGATCGCCAATAAAAACCCAACCAGTCAAGGTCAAGTTTGTCCCGGGGGAATGTTAAACTGTCATTGGACCTGCAACGAAATTAATCAGAAGAACATAGGAGGAGTTCGAAGTTAAGGTTCGACTTCCCTCCTCCGGATGACAAGTGACAATCAAAGGCTTAGCACGATACGACGGCACATCCAAACATAGTGCCATCATGCTAAGAGGTGCGGTCATCATTGTCATTTCAGCCAAATAACGTCCAGCTAGTAGACAGTGGGTGCGTTATTGCTACAAATTTTCTATTGTATTGAATTTCTGTAAAAATAGGCTTAAGCTTGGAAATACATAAATAAAATTGTAGTCTCTGATGTGCTGTCGACTTCGCCTTAATACAATAAATAAAAATTTCAGTATTTTTATGTATTGTTAAGTAATAGTTGTTATTAAGTAGATAATATACAGAAATAACTCATAGACTAAATTGTAGATTTTATTCTTTTTCGGGCTCAGTATAGGGCCCTGAAAAAGAATAGAGTCCGACACTAACGCCCGATTCGACCAAACTTTTATCCGAGAATAACTCCGGGTATAACTAACGTGACCATTTATTTTCTGTGCCAGAGCGGGACGACTGAGGAATAGTTCTAAATAATAAGGAATAATGTGTGTGGAAATAAATAAATAAAAAAAATAATTATAAAATAAAACAAAGTTTTGGGAGTTTTACAAGTTTATAGAAGATTGAATAACACATGGGAATAACACAAATCAAAGCACTAAACACAAAACAGTTAAATAGTGGGGTGACTTCTAAGTCATATTTTTGTATTTGTCGGCGGAACAAACGAACGTATTTTTGTATTTGTTTTTAGATAACTATGGAACTCACTGAATAATTTATTTATATTTATTTTCGTTATCAACATAGCTTTCATATATTATGCTACACTTAGCCACGGTAATACTATCATACAGTATTGTAACTTCATACAAACGGACGAAACGCGAGCTTTCCTTCGAAATTCAAATCTCGGTATGCGCTCGACATACAAAAGTCGGGGGTGTCGCGAATGTGCCACAGTACTAAACGGACGATGTGTTGTTTTTGAAACAGTAAGCGCTCTTTTTTTATAAAAATAATTACAACTACCTATTTATACAGGGTGTTAGGTAAATAGGTTTATAAGCTGACACTAGCCCATGTTAACATATTATGCATATTAATGGTATGGTAAAGTCAGTGATATCATTTTATTTTTTTAAATTTTCATACTAAATAAAATTTATAAAATCAGATTTGTATGAAAATTAAAATTATTAAAATGATGATATCAATTTTCTGACTTCACTATACCATAATAATTTTATATGCACATGTTAACATGGGCTAGTGTCGGCTTATAAACCCATTTACCTAACACCCTGTATAATAATCAAGCATTTTGTACGCCTCAGTCGAGGCGCATACATTTTACGGTCGCAAATTTTTAAGATTTATTACTAATTCTTAACACAAATATAATTTTTAATTAAATCTACTAATCACAAAACAACATGCATTTTATCCTATATCATTCACTAAGTTATTTTGTTTTTCAAAATAAAATAAAAAAATACAATCACAAAATACATTCACAAAACTAGATAAAAATTCTAAGTAGGCAGATGTAATGAAAATAGGGTCTGCAGGTGGGCAGCCCTATCGCATGTTGTCATACGGTGACGTACCGCGCGGCTGTTGACATTTATTTCAAAAAGATGGCCGAGTTGGAATACTGTATAGATAGTATTACCGTGACTTAGCTGGGTTTTATTCCTCGTTCACATTTTGTTCATTTAAGAAAAAACTCTTTCGACTGGTGCGTTACTTCCTGGCAGACACATAACGTACTCGATAAGTATGGAAAAGTTTGTTACATCAAGTGTATTGGTACGAAAGTGCTGGAATAATTCGAGCCAACGGTTTTCAGTAGAAACATTCTCGGCATTCCAGCCAGAGATCTTTTCATCTGTCACAAAGTTAGAAATAAGTGCGTATCTTGACCGCTGCTAATAAACCCCTGCGTGGTCAGTAAATCCAGCACTTTTTGTACCTCTTCCCACGTAGACACTTTATAGATGCATTCTTAAAGCTAAAGCGGGACGTTTTTGCTCTTGCGGGGGAAAGCGGGACAGACAGTCTGAAAGCGGGACAGTCCCGCCCAAAGCGGGACGTATGGTCACGTTAGGTATAACTGACACATTGACAGTTTCAGTATGGGAAATGTATCAAAATGTCGAATAAAATTGACGATTTATTCTGAGATTAATATTTACTATTGTTTGGTCGAAACCACCCTAAGCTAGATTACATAAACTCAGAACAGTATAGTTTTATCGGCGTACCTAAGTCATTATAATTTATTATTGTAAAATAAAGTATTACTAATTTAAGTTACTTTGATAGTGATTTCATTCATATACCTGTTACCTTCACATTTAACAGCCAAAATACAAAGAAAAGTAGAGCAGCTATGTATGTAGGTACCACAAAGTTGTCAGCATTGCTAACCGAAACTTAATCTGTGATTAGCATAACGACTCGTGCGCAACTTTGCAACGTCCCTCCCCCTTCTATTGTCTACGGCAATCGGCCATAATCTATGCCTATCTGAAGCTGAACAAAGGGGTCGCGTATACCGTATTACACTGCACAACTGCATTAATTATAGATGCAGTTTTGTCTTACGGATTGCATACGTGAATGGTGCGAAAGTCGTGCTAGACTCGTTTATTACAAAGAATTTATTGACAAAACGTTCCTGTTAATGTGTTGAATGGTGGAAAATACACTAACGTAGCTTACTAATAGGTATCCTTAGCTGATGTCAGTCAGCAATCACCGTGCTACTTTCGGAGACTGGTCAATTCATGTTGCAAATTCCTGAAATTTTCCGTCCCCGGGGTAAGTTAAAGAGTCCGCAACGAAAACGGAAATCACTACGAAATCTATCAGAAGAAAATGGGAAGAGTTCCAAGCTGAACATCTAGCTAGGCCCTGCAAAACGAATGAAAAACAAAAGATCTACGTGAATGTGTACCTTTCCCTTCTATGATCTGAGACCTTTTTACCTGAGGTACTTTTTTATCTAATTAATAAGAAGGTAAGGAAAAAGCTAAAACTCTATCGTAGCTATATTTGATCAAGTCAGAATTACTTATTCAACTTTTAGCTATAAATAAAAGTGTACAACTAAGCTACTTATACAATATGTATGCTCTCAGGGTGTTCTCGATTATAGCAAATATTTGCGTCATGAAATACACTGTCCCGAAGAAAACGATAACATATTTTTTGTATACGTAACATCGCCAAGTGTATTTTCGCGATGTTTTTCAATTGTCGTGTCCCTGCGATAAACCTGATAAGATAACGATCGATTTACGAATTTACAGGTCGCCAAAATTCGAAACACGTGTAGAGTTCGCGATAATTTGGTAATTTAGTTTCTCTTCTAAGTTACAATCGGTTTAGGTGTGTAATGGCTCAATCACAATCAGACAAGTCAAAGTGGCCTCTCAAAATCAATCAAAAGCTCGAAATAACCCAACCAAAATAGGAAAATTACATTAAGGCTGAGTTGCACCACCTAACTTTAACCGTAACTGTTACGATAACCGGTGTTTTTTGTACAGCGTTTGACAGATTTTTGACGTTTGTTACAGTCAAAGTAAGATGGTGCAACCCAGCCTAATTGAAATATAAACTCACTATGAATACCGCAATTCGAATTCTGAATCTTCGATATGGCAGTCCCACCCTCGTCTTTTCTCTGGACTATGGATCTATCGATTGTATCAATTAAAAAATATGGTAATGATCTACTGAAACGGAGATTAAAGCTCTCAACACATTACTACGACATTCCTTTCAGCCAAAGTACGTCAACAGCAGCTGGACAATAAGGATGTCCACTTCTGGACAAAAGCCCCCAAGGAAGAGACCCTCAAGAGTTGGCGGTCCACCGAACACATTATACTTTTACACTATTGATTGTAGATTTCTGAAAACAACAATGTAAATTGTTAAATTAATGAATAGCATCTGGAAAGACAAATCATACTTTAGTTAAAACATGCAATTTGAAATTGAAACTCGTTACTCAAGTTACCTATATTAACGACTTTTTTAACACCGACACTTAGGGTGAGTTGCACCATCTTACTTTAACTTTGACAAACGTCAAAAATCTGTCAAACTCCATACAAAATACACCGGTTATCGTCATAGTTACGGTCAAAGTTAGGTGGTGCAACTCAGCCTTAGCGAAATGCACTCGAGCAAATTGATCGATTTGCCTTCAACTTATCTAAATGGGCAGATAAGGTACGAATGTGTTCATAGCCCGGGGGTACATATTGGCACGACCTTAGTGACCAGGGCCGAAATCAGCTTAAATGGTGCTTAGTGCCGAAGCAATCAATTGTAGAGCCTAAGGATTATTGTTGCTATTAAATTAATATTAAATATTTTATCCCTCGGCTAATCTAGGTGAGCAATCTAGTTACAGACTAAAACTTGTATAAACTTTACAACGGATATAAACTTGCTAAGTAGGTTCCTAAATATCCTACTCATGGCGGAACACACACTCAGACCAATACAAACAGGTAAAATTATTACACATATAATATGTTTGCTTTGGGCAGGGATCGAGTCCTTGCATACATTGCATTGAATTCAAGTTGTTTTATCAAAACCTAACCTTTTATCAACATATAGAAGAAAGAAAGAAAAAATGTTTATTCAGTATCATCGACAATACACTTAACTTACAACAATACTTAAAAAATATTTAACGAGTAAGTAATTACAAAGATACTGAAAAGGTATCCACTCAGCATGGTGTCGTAGCATCTCAGTAGATAATGCCACGACGCTGGTCTTCCGTGGACACCCAGACAAAGAGAACACTACTATAGCTAATACATATAGGTTCCAAAGATTAAAAAAACTCCTAGATTTTTAAGTTTACGAAGAAAATTCAACATGTTACATTCTCGAATATAATGATAGACTAAGCACTGACCTACAATACCAATGTCAAAATCGCAAACAGCAAGTGACGCATAATTTAATTTTTACCTCATGCATTTTAATAACTGAAAGTGTTAATAATACTGTAATTAATTAGCCAGTAAATCGCTTAATATGCATAAGTAAATTACTTTAAGAGCGTGTTCATACACGCGGAGAGTGAACGACATTGTGGAAAGAAAAAAATAGCTTTATGTTATAGCCTGTCTAGGTATGTCCTATCCTATCGTAGGAGGCATATACATATATATCTGGGATATATCTGGGACATATTATTACCAGTGACCTCAAGGATGATGCAGACATTGAAAGGGAGCGCAGGGCTCTGGCGGTAAGGGGTAACATGTTGGCTCGCAGGTTCTCCCGTTGTGCAGACCAAGTAAAGGTTACACTTTTTAAAGCATACTGCCAGAGCATGTACACGGGAAACCTGTGGGTCAGGTATACCAAAAGATCGCTTGAGGCCCTGCGCGTCCAATATAATAATATATTCAGGATGCTGTTGAGACTGCCTCGTTTTTGTAGCGCATCAGGGATGTTTGCGGATTATCATACAGACGGGTTTAGCGCCATAATACGTAAGAAATCTGTATCCCTTATTACCAGGGTGCGAGCCAGTCACAACAGCATTCTGAGGACCCTAGCGGACAGATACACATCGCCGCTATGGAAGTGTCTTGTGCAGAGACTGATCACGGGGCCTTATCCACCCCCATGATGGTCCGTCTCTGCACAGGGTACAAGTTTTTGAATTTATAATTGTTTGTGTGTATGTTTATTTTCGAACCCGTTTAATATGGACTTTTAAAAATTGTCTGAAATAAAGAATTTTTATTTATTTATTTATTTATATACGTATAAAGTCTCATCAAAATCCGTCCAGAAAATTTTGCGCATGAAAAGACAAACAACTATCATTCTTCACAAACTTTTGCACTAAAAAATACACCAGTCAGCACATAAAAGAAATTGCGGTATGGTTGAATTTTAATTTGGTAGCAAATGGTCTATGAATTAATGCATAAAAGCATGGCTTAAAGGTATTTTGACATAACGTGAAGTGCGCCTGCACAAAAACCATCTTCTTCTTCTTCTTCTTTTATTTTGGCAACGATTTGGTTTTGAGAAACATGATTTCGCCAATGTTACGTAAACGCACAAAAACCAACCTGTGTTTCACAAGGTTTCACGTTGGATGCACGTCTCACATACATATGTGACATGGCATTGTGAACACACCCTAAGGGGATAACAAAAAGTAATGTTTCCTTAAAACGGCAAGCCTGAGGCGACAATCTGTTCCGGCCCTGGACTTCATACGATTTCGATTCGTTCCTTTGAAATATAATGCAAATTTGTTTTGCAATACCGATCAAGAATATTGAGATCACTTAGGTGTGGTTTTGTTTTACTTAAGGTCTCTTGATCATTATGTCATACTTAATGCGATATGAGTACGTACCTATTGCTCTAAGACGTTACATCATTGTTGTAATTAGGCTAGGTTTAGGTAGCTAGGTAAATCAAAGTCAAAAATATTTTATTTTATTTAGACTTTCAAAATGCTTAGTACAACTCCTGCTACGTGAGCTTTTTAGGACTGGTAAAGCGAAAATAAAATAGATTTCAAAGGAAATGTCCTAGAAATACTTACGAATAAGACATGAGACCTCTCAAAAGTTCCCTAGTACCTTCCCGATTGGTGCGGGGTTAGTCTGCAACTTTATCAATAAAATGTTAACAGCAAAAATAACCTTAAAGTTTTTATTATATTTTATCTTTGAAAACTCTTTCCAAGATATACCTAACTACACTACACTAATAAATAAATCCCAAATAATAATAATTGAAATGTAAGTAGCCTTAATCCTTAATCAACGCTTTGAGAAAACTTTTCAAATGGACACGAGAAAAATCGGACGAAAAACTTTACTTTGAATTCCATAACTTACAAGAATGTTTAAAATCTACTTTTCGATCAACTCAACCTCATATGTTAAAAATCCATTATATTCATAATTTCGAAAGAAAACCTACCTATATGGAGGTATCACTGATCTAATCTTTGGAATATATTGTATGCAGATAGCTTGCAACTTTGATCTAAATTCTTCTCTATCTTGATGAACCCATAAAATCATTGCTAAAACTATAAAATACGGCAAGGTTTTGGCTATACGATCAGTTAATATTTAAATGGTCTACTTAATGAAAATAAGGTCATCCACACAATTCTTGTATGACCTAAATCTATAACAGCAATAGATTAAATGGATTATCTAGTATCAATGGATTATTGAATTATATTTATGTTTTGTAGCTGTATCATACCGTGTTGCTTTATATTTTTGTTTCGGTAA